AATAATTTGTTTAATCTAGAGGATTGAGAACTAAAAATTAAAAGAAATAATATCTATATGTACTAAATCTCTTCATCATGCAACATGGGTAATATTTTTTTGGTTCATAATGACTCTCATAATCATCATCCATGTTAGAGTTCATCAATGTCGGTTCACAATCAATTTCTGACAAGTTAATCTCTCATCGTTATTATTGTGTATCAAAATCATTATATGGATAACCAAAGTCCCGAGATATTAGAATAATGCCTTTAGCTCTTGCCCTAAGTGTAGACATGAAATTTTTTAAACACACGCACGGGAGTGGTGCGCGCGCAATATTTATTGCCTAGTTTGCTATTCTCATGTAGCTTATATCTTCACGAGTGCGGTCTACAACTGGATTACTATCCATTGGTTGTTCGTAACCTCGAGCTCAACTTATATCTCATGAAGATGTTAACTTTTTCTTCTTTTTTTTTTTAATTAATATAAAGTCAGAGAAAAATGCAAGTGTAGTGGAATTGATCTTTGATTTATGGAATTCGGGCTCAGTTTATCAATCTATCTGAAATCGACCACCTCAATTAACGACCCAATAACCACAACTGTTTTCCAACACTTTGGTTGCTATGGTTGCACCCACAAATGACACAAAGTGACTGTGTTATTACAGGCACAAAGGCACCCACTCAAGCAGTCACAAAGGCAAAAGGAAGAAGAAAAACTGAATGAAAGAGACAATGAAAGAAGCAAACGCTTTCTCTCTTTTCAAGAAGTGAACGCACACAAACATCACAAAAGATGGGCAACAAATATATAAGGTACATTGGGTATAGAGAGGAAAAGGCCAAGTCCAAACCAATACATGGGCATACACTCAACCAATAAAATTGGAATCACAAATCTTACCTCGTGTTTCGAACCCGAAACATATATTATGCCTACTACACATACTTACTAGGGATAAGGTCACAAACAAATATCGAAATAGAAGCAGATAATTACAGAAATCAATCAAAAGCAAATAATTGTGCGATAGAGATATAATAGAGGATAATCCACATATATTTTCCCAAATACATTCACACAGAATAATAGATTAACACTAAGTTAATCGAGCAAACGATCAAAAACACATATACAACAAATGCATAAACGACCCCATGAAAAGATCTCACCACACTTATCCTATCATATTCTGTGTTACTCACACCTCGAGAAACACATATCTCACCTCATCATCGTCTACCATGCTCACTAGACTGATCACTCAACTTATGTCTAATTGGTAGATCTCTATAGATCCTAAATCCTTGGGATAATCATCTATCACCACGTCACTTTTCCCAGCCTAAGTGTATAATGGGTCTTCACCTAACAAAAGTGATAAAAGTGCATCTCTAACACTCCACCTGATCAGGGTTTTTTCACAGATAAAGAATTTCAACATTTAATCACCTCTCCATTCGTGATCCAATTGTCACACTCCACATCTCCGATACAAACCATCAATGTACCCCTATGTATCTATACTCCACATCTCACCAATATACATACACCATACTGCTAATGCATCTGAACCCATTATGCATGCAAACAATTATACAAAGTGATTAAATTGCTCTCAAATTCATGCAAATGCATATATCAAACACATAGAAATGCACATATAATCATGCAACATAATTAAGCAATCACACACATGCAGAAATGATTACACACAAATACACATGTAGTAACTAGGTTTACTCTTAATAAACATCACTAGGGCCATCACTCAACCTTATAACCATGTTCACCTCGTCTTTCATCTTACCCTTCTACTTACCCTTTTTCTTGGGACAGTTTCTAATAAAATGCCCAATCTTACCATAACTGTAACATCGCTATCACTAGACTTGTCCCATCTTTTGCCCTTCTTCTCATCACCCTCATCACTAGAGTCACTACTCGAATCACTATTGTCTTGAGTTCTACCCAAATTCATCTGCTTAAACTTCATTGTACTCCTCATCACATGCAACTCACTACTTCCCTTATTCTCTTTTTCAGCCTCAATCTCTATCTCCTTACTCCTAAGGGAATCTATGACAATCTCAGGTGTTGAAGTCCCTACCATACTTAATTGCATTCTTAACATCTCTGTATGAATCGGAATATAAATCAGCAAAATAATGGCCTTGTACGTTCCAGACACTTTCTCATCACAATTAACGATATCTTGAACAAGTTTATTGAAAATATCCAAATTGTCATCAAGATCTATTGAACGATCCATTTTAAAATTGAAAAAATATTTTAACCAAGTACAACTTATTAGGAGTATACTTAAGTAAATATAAGTCCTCCAACTTTTGCCAAAATTCATTTGTAGAATCAAAATTTCCAACTTTTCTCAAAACAAATGTCAGATAGGTGTAAAATAATTGAAATGTAAGCAAATTCATCATATTCTTCTTTTTGTACATTTGTCAAATTTGCAGAAAATTTGTCATCTACGGCTTTTGAAACTTTTTGTTGAACCAAAATTCCTTTCATCTTTTGTTGTCAAGTTGAAAAATAAACACAAAGTAATTTTAAGGTCGCAATATATACCGTTCTAAATTCCTAGAGTTTCGTGAGACTCAAGATCTCAAGATCAAAGGAATGTTCAAACGACTCAAGTATAAGTGTTCTAACATAATAATCAATGTAACACAAAGGTATGTCAACCACCACTATTCGTCCTAAAGTCTCCAACAATCGCAGCAACCAATCGAGTAAAAATCAAATTCCGTATGCGCAAGGACAAAATCGTCCAGATTTTTACTATATAACATGAAATAGAAAATTTACAACACCAAATCGTTAGAAATCACGTTAGAAAAATTCTGTCTGAAGAAACTGTCGCAGAGAAAGCCACATGTGCGGTCGTCGAAATCACCATGCATAGCCGCCGTTGGCCCCACGCACCACATCCTCAGGACCTCCTCCACTTGCACGTCTCAAGTCCAATCTCCGTTTCACCAATGGACCTCTGTATTGCCTGGAAATCGAGTTTACTGGTCCAATTTATACAAGAAAATCTGGGCACCCCATGCACCACATCCTCATGACCTCATCCACTTGCGCATCTCAAGTCCGATCTCCGTTTCACCAATGTACCTCTTGATTATTGCCCGAAAATCGAGTTTATAGGTCCAATTTATACAAGAAAACCTGGGCAGATTTTTTTATTTGATTTCTGCTCTAATTTTGCCAATTTTTGGATCATTTTCTAGCTGAAAATCCACGACCAACATGGTTCTGATATCAATTGTAGCGGAATTGATATTTGATTTGTGGAATTTGGGCTCAGTTTATCAATATAACCGAAATCGACCATCTCAATTAACAACCAAAGAACCACAATTGTTTTCCCACACTTCGGTTGCTATAGTTGCACCTACAAAGGACACAAAGCGATAGTGTTACAAAGGCAAAAGGAAGAAGAAAAATTGAATGAAAGAGACAATGGAAGAAATAGTTGGTTTCTCTCTTTTGAGGAAGGGAACGCAAGTAAACATCACAAAAAATGGGCAGCAAATATATAAGATACATTAGGTATAGAGAGAAAAATGTCAAGTCCAAATCAATACATGAGCCAACACTTATAAGCCATCCAAGAAGTGGGGAAATGGGTCACGAGCAGCTCTAACTAAATTAGGCTACCTCCAATGACCCAAATAGTTCTAGGTTTGGGTCATTCCATTGAGGTGTCAATATTTCAACTTATCCAACATCGATTTAACATCGTCGTCCGAGATTTATTGGGTATCAAAAAACCCAACAAATCTCCACCTTAATACCCAATTAACCTGCAAGATATCAAAACACAGAGTTTATACTTGCATAATCAAGGTGACCAATAAAATTGGAATCACAGACTTTACCTCATGTTTCAAACGCATACCATACCTGCTCCATGTACTTACTGGGGCTAAAGTCAAGAACACCCAATTCCGTGTTATCATAGCAACCAATCAAGAGCAAATAAATATGCGATGGATATTTCATATAGAATAACACAGATCTTTTCACAAAGACACNTATATTTGATTAATTTAAATTATAATTTAAGCTTTGCTAAACATGCTCTAAATGTATGTTTGATAATTTTTTTATTTTTTGTGAATTATCAGCAGTTAATCATACTAAATATATGGATAAAAAGTAAATTAGAGTTGAGGATTATAAAGTTAAAATAGTTTTGCCATCCACCTAAGATTATCAACCTTATTCTATTCACCTTATTATAAACTAGGGGTTCCCTTAATGCACCATATATTATAGTTTGAGATTCCATCTTAAATTACAAATTGGTTAAATGAAGTAGAGCAAATTTTTATATGTTAATTAATATTTCTTCTATAATCCACAGGAGATTTATACCTTAACACCACCCGGTATTACGATTGAATATTTTCACCTAATTTAGCCAAATTTCCACAAAAAATATAATTTATAATTTATATATATAATACATAAACCACTATAGGGTAAACTTCACAACATAAAAAGAAAAAAAATGAATTATGTTACATTGTCGGAAAAAATTGACATATTCCTTGACAGAAGACCACGTATCATTGGACAATTAATTTTTGCATCCAATTAACCACTGTATCTGTCAAATAGATGGATAATAATTTCTGTGAATGTGGTTTAACTCAAAAAATAATGCACATTACCGGTCCCGCATTGAACTCTGCATAAGAAATATGCATGGCTGCCACTTTTCATGTCCATAAATACCAGCCCAATTCTACAAATTGTGCAGGGGATTCAAAGAAGCACATATAATACACATTCATCTTTCTTAATTAAGAACACAAAGCATGCACTTTCTCCATATACCTTTTCTCTTTTTCTTCTGTCTATATATATCATAGAGGTGCTCATAATACCACAGCATAAACATACAGAAAATACTTTTTTCTCTGTTCTCTTTATATTGATTATACGCTGCTCCAACTGTCCTGCTTTTTCTTTTTCATATGAACTTTTTCAGGAAGGAAAAACTAGAAAGAGCTATCACAGATTTTCAGATTGTCTTCTGCATTTCGCCACATCTTCTGAGATATAAAGGTATAGTTATCCTCCACAGCTTATTGTTTTTGTTGTGTATCTGCATATAAATTTGAGAAAATGATTTTTTTTTTCTTTTTCAATCATCTTTTTGAAATGTATACTGCATTTTTTGCGCACAGTTTTTTTACTTCTATCAAAAACCAGGTTTGCTAGCTATGATGATTTCACTGCCTGCTTGCAAACAAGCACAGTCCCTTCTAAATTTTCCAGGGGGACTTCAAATGGATCAATTTATTCCGTGGCGCCAAAAGGACAAGGTTGTTATAGTAGTTGGTGCAACGGGGTCGGGCAAATCAAGACTTTCCATTGATTTAGCCACCCGTTTTAATGCAGAGATTGTGAATTCTGATAAAATGCAAGTGTACAAAGGTCTTGATATAGTAACAAACAAAGTGAAAGAAGTGGAGTGTCGTGGAATTCCCCACCATTTGTTAGGAGTAATTGATCCTGATGTGGACTTCACTTCTGATGATTTTGTACGCCATGCATCACGAGCAGTTGATTCCATTATGAGAAAAGGCCGGCTGCCGATCATTGCCGGTGGCTCGAATTCATACATCAAGGCATTGGTAAATGATGATACAGAGTTTCAATCAAACTATGAGTGTTGCTTCCTTTGGGTGGATGTAGCTATGGCAATCCTGCATTCATTTGTGTCGAAACGTGTAGATCAAATGGTTGATGTAGGTTTGATTGATGAAGCTAGGGAATTTTTCGACCTCGATGCAAATTATACGCAGGGAATCAAACGTGCCATTGGTCTGCCAGAAATGGATGAATTTTTCAGGAACGAGTCAGTTGTTGATGATGAAACGAGGGCTAGGCTTCTCAAGGCAGCAATCTATAAAATCAAAGAAAACACTTGCAAATTGGCGTCTCGTCAACACCAAAATATTCTTGGGCTCCAGAATCAACTGAAATGGAATATGCACCACCTCGACGCGACGGAGGCATTCCTCAAACGTGGGGTGGAGGCTGATGAAGCTTGGAAAATGGTTGTGGAAGGGCCAAGCACCGAAATTGTTGGCTGCTTCCTAAACGACACCAGCGCCCATGACCACAGCATCCGTCATCGGTACCACAAACATCACCGCAGTCGTAGCCGCCACACACTGATAGGATCCCACCTATCAATGATTAGCGCCAGCCTTGGAGGTAAATCTTTGTAAAGGCGGGACACCCATAATCTACCGTTACCTTTTCTACTTACAAAGTTTGCTGTCAACTTAAGAAGTATTGGGTGGCCGTACATTTGGGAGCATTTTAGATATCCGTGCTGGGGTTCTTCTAATTTCTTTTTCTTTTTAATTAAACTACAATGTGTTGCAGTGTTTATTATAAAAATGAATAAACATAATACATATTTTGGATGAGACTGGTGCAAAATAGAGAAAAAAACGTAAAAGCTCAGGAATTACACTTCATGCGATTTAATTATACTTCTTGTGATCATAAGCCGATCTCGCGCGAGCTTAATTTTGTGACATGGGCTAACAACGCAAATTGTAAGTTCTTTGTGGACACTGCAGTTTGTGACGTGATAATAATAGTCTAAGATCTAGTTTGATACATATTTTAATTTAAATCAAAGTCAATATTTAATTTTAACCAACATTTTATGAGATCCGCAACTTTTCAATTTCATATTTAATCATTTTTTATCAAAATTTACTGAAAATTTAATTTTAATCTCATCAAACAAGAGCTAATAAAGCGTGCAGACACCCACGAGAATGAGAACGGGAGTGACGTTTACTAATCGTTTTTCCCCATATGAGCTGTATTATTCTCAGATTTGACAACTCTGTGGCGTATCTAAGAGTTGAATATACAACTCTGTGGCGTATCTAAGAGTTGAATATATATATATACGAGAATGTTCTCCTGCCCGCGACGGGCAATCTTATCCTGCTCACCTGCTGATGTGGCATGAGAACCCTACGTGGGGTTCTCTCCAAATGTGAGAACCCC